TCTCTTTCTTTTTTTGTTATTTTCCACCTCTGGTTTTTCTCTGAGTGTTCGTCTTTTTGTTGTTGTCGGTCTCTTGGGGAGATTAAGCGTTGGAACTCGAACTCTCTTTTTGGTTGGAGAGAGCTGTGGCGTTTCCCTACTGCCCCGTCACCATCTTGGTCCCCCCTGCTCCATTTTGTCACTTTTAAACTAGGGAAATGCACTTATTTTATTTGCTGCAATCTTGTTCAGCTTTGCCACATAGAAGACTTGTTTATAATATTTCATAAGCACCACAGCACAGGGAAATCTGCTTCACCAGCAGCAGAGTCAGGAAATGGGGCATTCATCTGGAAGCAAGTGCTTGTCTTCTGCTCTACACCTCCTCCCACCAGTAGTGGTTGTGGGTTAAGGAAGGCTGTGTGCTTCCTGTTGCAAATATGCTAAGGGGATCATTTTAGGGTGGTTGTTTTATGTTCACTTTTCATCTACTTTTATTTTTGGCATTTGGGTTTGAAATCACAGCCTTGTGTTTGCTCAGCACGCTCTCTGCCATGTCTTCAGCTCCTTTGACTCTACGCTGTTTCTCACTTAGGGTGAAATGACTTTGTCCAGGGCTGGCCTCATGCTGTTATCTTCCTAGGATGTCCATTATATTTGACTTTACAGGTGTGGGCCCCATGCCTGGATTATTGTGAGATACGGTCTCATCAACTTCTTGTGCAGGCTGGCCTCAATCCATAGTTTGCTGGATGTTTTCCCCTGCATAGCCACCAAGTTCAGCTCAGTGGTGTCCATTCTTGGTGGTATAAACGTATCCCTGATGGGGAAACCTGTAGAGGGTGAGAATTTGTTTCTCATAGTCTGGGGTCAAGGTGTTCAAGATCAAGCACTTTTCTGTCTGCTTTGGGCTGTTTTTCTGCTTCCTAGGTGGTCTACATGCTGTGTCCTCGTGTGGCAGAAGAGACACCTGTGTCCTTCCCTTGCAGGATGGGAAGGAAAGATCAGCTCCCTTCCTCAAGGGGACAGGAGTACACTCACCATCCATGAGTCAGGCTGCTTCCCTGCAAGGGTTAAATTCCAGGTCATGAATGTTGGGGAGCCAAGGCACGCACCCCATAGCTTCTCACCTTAGCCTGGACTCCTTTCCTATTGTGCCTTCCAAATGATTTATCCATAGCACCCGCAGCAAAGCGCTAGTGCCCCCAGGGCTAATTTTACATTCAGATTCCAAGGTTTTGCTATCGTCTGAATCACACAGTGTTGATTCACAAGTTATGTGTGTTGTAAATACAACATGAGCCTGGAATAGGGCAGATATTCCCAGAGGGATGATGGGAAAGACAGGGTAACCATAGTTACCAACGAAATCCAAACATCAACTGAGAGACATGAAGCCTGAGAGACTGAACGATTTTCCATGACTTGAGTTCCTGCTAGGTGCACACAGTGTGGACGTGCACACATGAGGTCTCACACATATATACTGTACTGTGTACAGGTGTGCACACACAGTGTGGACATGCACAAATGAGGTCTCACACATATATAATGTACTGTGTACAGGTGTGCACACACAGTGTGGATGTGTACACATGAGGTCTCACTCATTTATATATTGTACTGGGTATAGTTGTGCATACACAGTGTGGAGTTGGATACATAAGGTTTCTCTCTCTCTCTCACACACACACACACACTCTCTCTCTCACACACACACACTCACACACACACACACACACACTCACACACATGGTACTGGGCACACCTGGGCAAGGAGCCCCGTGTGTGAGTTCTGTGGGTCTGCAGCTCTCCCAGGCTGGATTTTCACTTAGCTTTGTCTCCTGCAGTACTAAGCACAGGTCACCCCACAGGTCAGTTAGGCTTTGCTCTCTGGGGTGCTGAGCCCATAGTTCTGAGGACACTGTCTAGTGGTCTTCCTGTGCTGTCCCCATTTCTCTAGTTGTCTCTGCCTGTCCCCAGCCATCCATGAATCAGACGGTCTCCACACATCCATCTTGGATTCTGTGCCCTGCAGAGAGACCATGTGATACCCCGAGGCCCAAGCTCCATACAGGGTCAGCACTGAGCCCCACGCTGCCAGGACACAGGAGTCACCACTGGGAAGACTGAGGTGGCCACATGGGCAGGCAGGGCAGTGTGAAGGGGTCTGTCCAGGGCGTCCTGGCCTGCGCAGTGCCCGCACCATTCATGCTCCGCTCTGCCCTCATCCTGAACCTTGTGTCTGTGATGGAGTAGCTGCTCCAAGGCTCCTTTCACGTCCAGCTCAGGGAGCCCCACTTGGCTTCCTCTTTCCATCACAGTCTCTTATCAGAGCTCCTGGACCACTCCAGCGTTCATGCCGAAGCTCATCTCTCTGCTCTGTCAGTTTTTCTGTTTACTTCTTTTCTCCAGCTAGTCCTGGGCCTTGAACGTGGGCCTGGACTCTTTCCTTGAGCTCTGTTTGCTCAGGGCTCCCCCTCTACCACCAGAGCTAGCACCACACCTGGGTTTGTCTGTGATTAATGGGAGATAAATGTCTTATGAAATTTCTCAAATAGGGCAATTTTGAACTGTGATCCTCAAATTTTAGCCTCCTGAAAGCTAGGATGACTGGTGTGAGCCACCAGTGTTGGGCCACTTTTTCTTTTAAATTAGCTTCATTGTATAAAGTAATGGCTTTCCTTATGACATTTTCACACGAGTGTGTAATGCACTTTGCTTGCACCCTCTCCTGCCCTGATCAATCTTGCTGGCTTCCGCATGCTATTGCCATTCCAATTTTATATTCATGCTTTTGATCTTGTTCAGATCTTTATTCCACCTATGAGACAAAAATGCAGCATTACTCCTTTGGTGTCTGGCTTATTTTCATCAACAAAGTGTTCTCTATTTTTTCAATTTTCCTTCCAGTGATGTAAGTTCATTCCCCTTTATAGCTGAGTAGTTCCATTCTGTATACATCATTCTTCTTTATAACTGAGTAATTCCATTCTGTATCCATAAAATAATTTCTAGGTTCATCCATTGAGGTATCCATTGAAGGGACCCAGTCTGATCCCCAAACCTTTCCTATGTGGACAGTTCAAGACAAACACAACTGTGTGGTCACTATATCATAGACTGCCCGAGACCCCTTGGGTGTGTGCAGGAGTGAGGAGAAGGATCATGGTGGCTTGGCTTTTAGTCTGTGGAGGGTTTTCCATTCTGAGTCCCATGGTGCACTCGCTCACATTCTGAGAGCACCATGGAAGGTTTCTTTTCCTGCATCTTTGCCAGTTCTTGTTTGTTCTCTTTATGATTGACAGGGTACCTTTGGAATGCAGTGCAGTCATGATGTGTGTTTCATTTATGGCTGAGGATATTGTATATCTGTTATATGTTATTGGGCATAGTAGATTCTTATTTTAGGTCTGACCACTTCCTATACGTATTTATTAATTAAATTGTGTGTACTGGTGTTTATTTGAGGGCTTCATATATCCTGTTAATGCATCCGCTGTCAGATGCATGTATGGCCAAGATTTCTTTACCTTCTTCATATTATGTGTTTACTGTAAGAATTGAATGCTATTCTATCCTCAGTGGCAAAATGTGAATTAAGTTTTTAATTTTATTTTTATTTTTTTGTCGGTCATAGGGCTTGAACTCCGGGCCTGGGTGCTATCTCTCAGCTCTTCAGCTCTAGAAGAGTGCTCTACCGCTTTAGCCACCGAGCCACTTCTGGTTTTCTAGTGGTTTAATGGAGATAAGATTTTCATGGACTTTCCTGCCTGGGCTGGCTTTGAACTGCGATCCTCAGATCTCAGCCTCCTGAGTAGCTAGGATTACAGGCGTGAGCCACTGGCCCCCGGCGTTAATTTTTTGTTCCACTGCCAGCACCTTTTGCTCAAGGTCTTTGGTACTTCCAGGTGATTCTTAGCATCACTTTCATTTTCCATTTCTGGGAAGAAGGCATAGGGCTTTTGATGGAGGTTGATCAAGTCTTTAGACCTCTTTTGGTAATTTGGCCATTTTCACATTGTCTGTTCTCTCGATCCTTGTAATTTAAAGTCATTCCACTCCCTTGATTGATAAGACTGTCCCCTTCTATTCTTTTCGTCAGTGTTTTAGAGTTGTCATTGTAAAGGGCTTTCTGTCCCCAGGTATATTTATACTAGGCATTTTATTTATTTTCTGATGGTCTTGTAAATGGCTGTTTTCCTGATTTGTTTCTCACTAGGGTACCGGTAAAAGAGAAGGAGCTGATTCTTCATGCTGATTTTCTGTGTTGCTGAAAATTACTTCTCATATCCAAAGGCTTTGGGTGGAATCTTTTGGTCATCTGATAGTGCAATATATTCAGCAAGGAAGGTATTTTAACAGCATCATTACTTTGTAATCCCTTGCTTGGCACATAGGAAGATGAGAGAATACTGTTGCTGTGAATAGCACCTTGAAAAGAATGAGTAAAAAGGAATTGAGGCAGTCAGGGAATTGTTCTTTGTCTTTATAGTCTGAAGTCATATGTAGGATTCATGTGGTGCATCTATTGTTAATGTATTGAGGAAGCACTGTACTGTCTCCATAGTGAGTGGTCTGATCTGTGTGATCTGTACTGTACAGGAGGGAGCACTGTACTGTCTCCATAGCGAGCTGTCTGATCTGCCCTCTTCTTGCACTACAAGCCCATGGAGTCAGATGTCCCAGCTCCTAAGAGAGGATTTCACTGTAGACTCTTCAGTATCTTTATGCTGAGAGCTGGTAGGGGAGCAATGTTTACTCCACAAATTAGTGCCTGCTGCAATCAATTTCTCTCCCATTCTAGGACCTGTCAATATCTTGGAGAAAATATTCTGCAGATGAGCAAAAGCTCCCTTTCTGACCTTTCCCAGCTCTAAATCACAACCTCTACCACAGGCTGTGTGCAGCTAGTACTGCTGTCTGGTGAGCAGGAGCAGCTTCTCTCTCAGAGTTTCTGATGCCTTCTGGATGTGGTTTCCTCACTGTGCCTTGCACAGTACTACACAGCCATGTCGTTGGCCTTCAGGCTGCTGATCTGCAGATGTGCTGTGCTGACAGAGGTCTCAGGGAGAAGATGAATCGTCCTTTGAAGCCCTCAGCATAGGTTGGATTTCCAGTGTTAGTGTTGATCCACCCCATCCACTGTAGGCCACCTCTTGGCTCCTGCCACATCCAGTTAATACCATAACTTGTGAAAGTGTATCCAGAAGCCTTGCAGGAGATCTTCATGGCCTCTCCAGGCTTCTTCAGCTCAGGACTAGATTGTACCAGCTGCACCTGGGAGTAGGTTCCTGTGGAGGAGACGGGGAGTTAGGGCCGGGAGCTCCTACACATCCTCGGCAGCCCTGGTATGGGGTCCTCACCTGGGGCCACTGCCAGCAGGAGAAGGAGCCTCCACCTCCACTCCATGCTGTGGGGATGTGGACTGAGTGTCTCTGGAGACTGGAGGGCCAGGCCCGTGTGTATGTGTCAGAGGAGCCTGGCCTTTCTACTCTGTGGGCCTGAGAGATTTGCATATGGCCCTGCCTTTATCACCTGCTGGGCTAATCTACCCCATGGACATCCTGACTCCTTAGACCCAGGCACAGATCCCACCCCAGCGGAAGTGCAAATGGCCTCTCTGGTGGGTACAAGATCCCTGAGTTCCCTCCATCCTGCCTGACATCAGATTTATGACCCGGAATGGTGGGACCCATTCAGCCCAGAACCACTAGCACCCAGGATCCACAGCCCCCCTGGCCCACAGATGGCTTTCCACAAGTCATGAGTGGAGGAAGTGAGAGCAGGAGGGAGACCTGATGATGTCATCTCCTTCTTGAGAAGATCCACCATTTCCCGATGGCCAGGAGTGTCCACTGTAGTGGACACTCATTTCAAATGAATCTGTGCTGTCTATGTGAGGACAGCGTCCAGAGAAGCACACTGAGCTTCCTTCAGTTTAACCAGCAGCATTTAATCCAGGGTGTGTGGTACCTCCTCTTCCTCCTTCCTCTGTGTCACTTGTGTTTGACCCCAGGGCCTCCATGTTGGAACTGACGGCACATGCAGGGAGCAGAGGCTGGTCACAGGTGCTGGGAGACAGTGAGGGAGAAAGCTGTGTCTCCTTTTCCGAGACAACAACTCCAAACCTGAGCTTCACCTGAGCTCCTGGTAAAGGCCCTGTGTCCTCAGAATGAAGTTGACCCAAGAAGAAGAAAAGTAAGTTGTGGGAATACATCCTTTTTCCTGGACTAATGCAAAAGAGGAGCTACTTTTTACCAGGCAGTATGTTTGCCTTGAGCCATGCTTGGGACTCTGGTTATTAATTTTTACTAGTGAGTAGTGGTTACATAACAAGCTTTGTCACAATATCTTCATATATTCCTCCAGTTTGCCTTCATCACAGTGACTTTCTGATCTACCCATCTTCTCTTTTCCTCCATTAATGGTTCCATGATTCTATTTTAATTCATGCATACAATGCATCTGTTGTCCATTTCTTTCTCTGTGGACAGTCCTGGGGCCTGGGTGCTGTCCTTGACCTTTGGTGCTCACGTCTGGTGCTCTATCCCTTGAGCAGCAGCTTTCTCTCTGTTTTTGGGTGAGTCGTCTGAGCTGGGATTCTCGTTGATTCCTTCCCAAGCTGGCTTGGAACTGCACTGCTCAGATCGTAGGCTCCCTACAGCTGGGGTCACAGGTGAGATCCTCTGGCCCTGGCTCCTATCTGAGACTGTTAACAGGACACACATTTCACTGGCACCTAGGACATACCCAGGTCACCTGAGCATGCACAGCTGGATCTGCCCAGCTCAGCGTGTCCCTAGCGACCCCTGCTGGTGGCCAGCACTCCTGCAGGTGTCTGAAGTGGACATCCTCCCCAGGTGGACTGCAGAGCTCTGTGGTATGGAGGAAGGGGCTCTGCTGTCTGTCTCAGGTGCATGTGTGGCTGTGGAGGTGACCTCGATGTCACCGTGTCTCCTGTCCAGTGTAGCCCCTCCTTGTGAGTCAGTGAAGCCAATGCCAGAGGCACTGCTGGTCCTGATGGAGCTGGAGGCCAGCAGTGAGCAACTGGACCTCAAGGGTTCCCAGGCCGATCCTCACTCTGACCACACCTGGACAGCACACAGGGACAAGGAGAACCACATCTGTCTGCACCTGCAGTCACAATTCCTCCGAGTCCCACACGTGAAGCTGTGCAGCTTGACCAGCACAGCGCGCCCAGCTTGTCTGTCCACGAATCCTCGGCCCACGTGATGGGACTGTAAGCTCCATGGGCCAAACAGAAGTTTATCCTAAGGTTGGAAGACACAGTCACAGGCCAGTGAGACTTTGAGGTCAGAGGACAGTACAGCCAGTCCCTCTTCCACAAGGAATGCTGGGACCCGCGTCTCCTCAAAGCACACAGGGCACAATTCTGGGCTGGGGCAGTGTTCCACCCACAAGACTCCCATGGGGTATTCCTTAGATCACAATGCCCCAGCCTCAAGACATCATCTTTCCAAATACATTCTTAAGAAATCTATTTCAATGCAAGAGAATGTTCTGTTTTGTAACATAAAATAGAACAAACTGTTTATCCTTTGACTCCAGTAAGTCAAGACTTTATTTTCAGGAAATATAGTGGTTTACACCCTTGGGTGGGTCACTTCACACATAAAGGTTTGTTTGCCTTCTTGGGCAGAAGGGAGAGGAAAGGTGTTCATCTTGAAGGTCTTCTCAGCTTCACCGCTGAGGGAAGTCAAATACTTGGAACCTCTCTGCAGGTTTCTGCAGGTGCTGTGGGCTGCCTGGCACTGCCAGGCCATTTGGAGCTTTTCCTCTGGTGAATGTAACTCAGTTCTCTCACACATGTTCCTAGGCCCTTCCCTTGTATTGGAGAGCTCTCTTCAATTCATGACTCTGAATTCTTGACTCTGAATTCTTATCACTTCTCATCTTTAGGAAATGGAAGGAAGACGTTAGGCTACTTTGACTGGAGACATATGAAAACGTGTATTTAATACAAGCAGAAATTGGACCACTTGTCCAGTATAGAACTGACACAGGAGATGCAAAGTTCTCCAGAATACATTCTAAGAATGATGGCATTTTAACTATTGGACATCATTCTTATTTTTCCTAAGAAGGAATTCCACCTGGTCCCACACAACCCAGTCACTGTGGAGACTTTGGAGTTCTCATATCAGGAAATCATGGAGGTTCTCAAGTGCAGCAAGTTTCCATGACCATCATTTTCACCCTTTTTCCTAACCCAGCAGAGAACATAGCATCATTATGGGATTGTGAGATGGCGGTGCGTGGCTGTTGGTCCATTCATGACCTGGATAAGTCACAGGACTGGGTGTGGTCTTGGTACACCCATGTAACTCCAATTCATTTATGACCCCAGATAAGGTCACCAGGACTGTAGGAGTGTTGTGCCTAGGTCACAGGACCCCCACCAAGAAGACCACTGAGAGTCAGACTCTACAGCTGTTTTAAGGTTTTATTTAAATGGGCTGCTGCTCAGGCTTCATCCTACACTCTGACACAGCAGATCCTAGGAGGAGAGCTCGGAGCTAAGGATTTCCAGGTCTTATAAAGGCACATAACCAGGTATTTTAGCACCACATGCTGCTCTGCTCTGAAACAAGCAACAAATTGTCACTGCCTCAAGTACTTTAACCCTTCAGGAGGACACAGTATATCCATGTAGGTCCATTTACTCTACTCCATGTATGACCCCACAGCAGGCTCTAAGTTCTGGGGAAGTCTGTGCATGAGTAGGCCTGGAAACCTGTATAATTCTCTGATTTAGTCTCTGGATTTTGTCATGAACACCACCTGGTCTGTACATTCTGCTAAATAAAAATGTGGGTATTGTAAGGTCTGCTCCTGGATGGCGAGCATACTCCACCCTCCTGGCAGCAAAGTCTCTGCCCAGTTACCTGCGTTATCTAGGCAACTAGCACACCTGGAAGAGGTCACATCTGAATCTGCTGAGGTCACATCTAAATTTGATGTGGCCACACCTTTCTCCACCCATACCCTAGCTAAGGCCTAGCCCAGGCCCAGAAGCTCTCTTTTCTAGCTCTTTTCTCAGCTCTTTCCTTCTCTTCTCTTTCCCAGCTCTAGCTTTTTCCCAGCGCTCTCTCTTTCCCAAGTCTTTCTCAGGCCTTTCCAGCCACATGGAGGGCCAAGATGGCCTGGTGCCAGCCAGAACGATGAATAAACCTACCCTTTACCTGCATACCACGTGCCTGGTGCTGTTCTTACTCAGCTACCTCTTTTTAAAAACCTAACAGGTATTTCACAAGAATTATATTTAGACTTAATGTGTGATCAATGTTCCATATTGTAGAATAGGTTCTCTACAAGCAGAAATATTACAATGAGGATGAACCTGAATTTAAACAAATATCGTTTGTGAATTATTCTGGTTCTGCAATTGCAAAGAGGTTGTTCCCTTTATGTGAATGTATAAGGAAGAAAAGCGGTCAGTGTGAAGTGAACGTAGAAGGGAAGAAAAGAGGTCCATTGTGCAGTGACCCTGTAAGAGGAAGGGAAGACATCCTGCGTGACGTGAACGTGTAAGAGGAGGGGAAGACTTCCCATGTGAAGTGAAAGTGTAAGAGGAGGGGAAGATGTCCCATGTGAAGTGAACGTGTAAGAGGAGGGGAAGAGGTCCCGGGTGAATATTCACTGTGCAGCAGCTGTTAGATGAGCCAGTACTCCCTTGTCTGGCTTACCAGGTTCACAGGACATGAATGAGAGGAAACAGACTTTCAGGTTCTAGATGTATTCCCAGGTGATGGACAGTGCAGGGAATATGAAAACTCCCCTCATATCCCAGTGATAAGGGGGTGGATAAATCTCTGCATTTGTGTACATAACTGTGCACTGCAGATTTGCATATGAACATGTACATATAGAAAGAAACTACATGAAAGCAATTAGATTTGTATATAAATATGAGAAGTTATAGAGTACACATTAGAGCAACATATACACACATATATAACATACATGGAATAAATTTATACTACACACATCTACATGTGTGCATATCTACATAGCTTTGTATACCTATGTATATCTAGAACAAAAAATGATCATCTTGATTCAGAAAAAGCCCTTGACAAACTCCAGCATCCTTTTATGCTAAAAGCTCTATAGCAGGGGATCAGTTGACTGGAAAACGTGTTCACATGACTATTAGCTGGGAGTTTTGCCCTGGCTTTATTCACTGGGAACCCCTTGCTGTCTGTGTTTTCTGAGAATGGGAGGGGTAGAACCTTTCCCACACTCAGCATGGGCTCGGTTCTGCAGCCCTTGGCTCAGAATCATCTCTGTGTTATAAGCAGCGCTGAGGGAATCAGCCTTCTCCTCACAGCCCGAGGCAGCTGCCTTGCCTCAGGTTTCTGACACACTCAGGATGTGGGTGTGCACACTATGCCTCACACAGTAGTACCCGGCTGAGTCCTCAGCTGTCAGCCTGCTCAGCTCCATGGAGGCTG